GGAAGTAAGTACTGAGATTATTTTGTTGTAACTGCGACTATTGATGGGAGTCCAGGATTTATATAAAAACGTACCCTTATTGGCCTGACGTTGAATACTCCACGTATCACGTTTAAATCGAAAGATTGCTCACATGTTGTTTTGTATTGAACGCTGTGTATCCAATGATAAATCTGCCGTCTTTTGTGATACCGAAATTAACATTGTGAGTGCCAGGCTTCTGTACGATCTTCCCATCGCTTATAACATTACCAAGACAATCACCTGTCTTTGTATTGAAGAATCCTGCATTTGTAGAGACGATACATTTTCGTTTCTCTGCAGATTGTCTCGTTAGTGCCGTTCCATTATTACATCCATTCAGTGGTTCAAGTATTGAAAAATGTCCTAACGGATTTTCTAATCTATAGAATCTACCATTGATTAACTGACCATTGATATCAATTCCAATTTCTCTTTTAGTATAACGTGCAGATATTTCATCATGTTTGGTGACGTTGTATGTCTCGTATGTAATGTTATCGAAGTAGTGAAGATTATTGGAGTCGTGGAGGTTAATCATTTGTTCGCGAAGTTCGTTGAGGGATTTTTGCGATCCGTGTGCCTTCGTCCCGTAAGGATTAGAAAGTATGTCTTCGATTTCGCGACATTTTGCAGTGACAAGAATCATCAATGTGAAGCACGCGAAGAACACAAAAGACCGTGACGCGTGCCATTGCATTTCGTATCCTGAAAGAGTAAAATTTTCGACATTCTTCACTCGACGGTTTCACTCCGTAGACTTGCATCTTCGCAAAGTAAAAATGTTGAATGGTTTTCTTTGTACTTCATTAGTCGTTACGTAACGCTTTCCTTTTTTTTGTAAAAATCGTAACTACAGTAAAACCTCCTAAGATGGGCACTTGGCGCACAGTGGACAGAAAAAGGGGGCCCGGAACAAGTCTTTTAATGATTGCAGCTATCAACTTAATATTTTGTGTACACTCAGGTCGAGCGTTACGGACTCCGTAAACGGTCGTTTACGGCTGTATACGACCATATACGCTCTGTATAAGACCGTATTTTGGCGTATTACATGGTCACGTATTACGGTTTTATATCTCCGTGGCCGTATACGTAGCTATACGGTGGAAAATGGAGGTCGTTTACGACCGTATTTTTCCCGTAAATGGCCGTAAACGATCGTGTTTTGACCAAATACGGTACATACACGATCGATATTGCTCTCTTTTCCCCTCCCACTATATAATCAAAGTTACCTCCTAAACTAAAAGAATCAAAAATAAATGAATTAAAATAAACTAACATAAAATACATACTGTTCAATAACTTATTGAAAATAATAATCTAAAATAAAGAAAAAAGAATTTATTAATATAAAATACTTATTCTTCAATAATCTATTGAAGATAATACTCTAAAAGAAATTTAAAAAAGTATTAAAATAAAATAGTTACTATTCGTTGAACTTATGCTCACTCAGTTCCACAATAATTCTATAAAGTTGAACATACGGCGACCGTATACGACAGCACACAGCGATATACAATCGTATGCGACAGTCGTATATCTCCGTATACGGAGCAGAACAGTTTATCTATGAATCCTTCCGTAATTTTGTACGGTCTCTGTAAACGGAACCCGTTTCTGATCGTTTCGCGCCGTATAAGCTTTCAGTATAGGAGATCCGTTTACGATCTCCGTATATATCTGTTTTCCTCCGTAAACGGTCGTTTACGACCGTGAATATTCGACCCGGGCATATAACTAGCACTTCATACTGATTATCTGCGCTTGCCCAGTCGCCCGTACTCAAAAGATTCCTGGAGAATGAAGTTTTCGGCTTTCGAAAACTGCGAATTAGCACAATAAAAAGTAGTTGTTCCATTATAATGTTTCTTAGAAAAAATGAGACAACACTTTTTTTCATATAGTTGATACAGTTATTAACTATGTATTATAGAGATCTGCCATGAGCTAATTATTCTTCAAGAGCCTGAAGCAGGTTATCATCAATAAATTATTTCCAGCTTTTGAATCTTTGCAGACAAAAAATAATAAGGGTGTAAATTAGTACCTCATTTTATAGTTTTCTTTCGGTATTCATCTTAACGTGTGAATTACCTAAATGTGAAATCTTAAGACTTTTAAGGAAAAGTTCACTATTTGGTTATAGTGAAACACACATATACGTATATGTCAAACATCTTTCGGAAAAATATGTGTTTAGCAGTTTATTACTTGGAAAAATCCTCTTGATAGCAAATTATAAAAAAGTTAGTAAGCGGACGATGCATACAACTCAGAAGAGCTAGAGTTTTGCATATAAGAGGACAAATCAATACGTACTCGATAATCTAAAATTTTTAGAAAGTCATATAAGCTCTAATGAGGAGTGATTCTACAGTTGCATTTTTTTTTTCGATAATACCGGTCGTTTGTGAGCTGTACGGAACCATTGGTAGTTTCGTAGGTCATCTAAAGGTTCGGTATATTTTACACGAAACTATTGATAGTCTCGTAGGTCATCTAAAGGTTTCGTATACATTACACTGAACCATCGATAGTTTCGTAGAACTTCAGAAGGTTCCGCATATTTTACAGGGAACCATTGATAGTTTCGTAGGGCATCTAAAGGTTCGGTATACTTTACACCGAACCATCAATAGTTTCGAAGGACGTCAGAAGGTTCCGCATATTTTACACGAAACTATTGATAGTTTCGTAGGTCATCTAAAGGTTTCGTATACATTACACTGAACCATCGATAGTTTCGTAGAACTTCAGAAGGTTCCGCATATTTTACACGGAACCATTGATAGTTTTGTAGGGCATCTAAAGGTTCGGTATACTTTACACCGAACCATCAATAGTTTCGAAGGACGTCAGAAGGTTCCGCATCTTTGATACGGAACGGTCGATAGTTTCGTAGGGCATCGGAAGGTTCCGCATATTTTACAGGAAACGATTGATGGCTCCGCTCCGTAGACTATATAAAGCTTTCGTATCTGATATACGAAACGACTGATGGTTTTGTATCTTTTATACGAAACAAATGGTAGTTTGGTACACTATGTGCAGGTCTCGTATTTTTTATGCGAAACGGTTGATAGTTCCGTAGACTGTCTGAAGGTTTTGCAGTTTTCTTATAAAACCCTGCATACTTCTGTTAAGTCCTAATAGGTTTTGTGTAATTTGTATGAAATCATGTATGATCTTTTATATTATCGAAACTTTTAAGATTTTTTCCTTATTTAGGAATGGTTAAGAATTAGTTTCACTAGTCAATTTACTGAAGAATATTTACTTTTTCAATAGTATAAAAAATGCATCAGATCTTATCAGGTAAATTAAAAGAGTCTGAAAAGGATGGCGTGAGAAATGGAGATGCGCATGCTTTGTAAAAACAACTTAAGTTGAAGAAATCGAACCAAGAGGAAATCAGGATCGCGACACTAAAAGCGTGAAGCATAATCAACAAATCGAGAAAATAATTAACATAATATCGAGAGCTAAGTGGACAGAATGTTTAACACTAGACGTGTCAATTTATATTTATTTTCAATTTAATTTACGCATAAATTAAATTATCAGTAATGTCAATTTGAAATAAATTTAACTTATGAAAAATCCAGCTGATCTTAAATCTAAACTGTTTGCTTTTCATAATTTATTAAATTAAATATTTAACTAAATTATTCTATTTCTTTATGAGTTATCTAGAGCTAGTCCCTATAACATTTCAAGATCTACCTATACATGTTCCTCATAACTTTTCAAGGGCTACCTAGGGTCGTCATTCTAACGTTTCATGGCCTATCTTGAAGGTGATGCTCATAACTCATCATGACTTATATAAGGATAGTCCTTATAAGTTCTCATGGCCTATCTAGGAGTACTACCCAAAACTTTGCAAGCTTTATTTAAAGGCAGTCTCCTTATAACTTCTCATTGTCTATCTAGAAGTCGTCTTCACAACTTTTGAAGCTTTACATAAGGGTAGTCCTTATAACTTCGAACGGCCTATATGAGGTTTGTCTTCATAACTTTTCAAGGCTTCTCTATAGATAATTCTTATACTTTTTGGAGCCCTATCTTTGAGTATACCTATAAGTATGAAAATTGTATGTGGAGTCGATACTAAAGATTCACACGCTCTGTGGTTTTGCTAGTATCAGAGATTGCTTGAAAGTATCTGGAGCGTCCTTTCCCACTGCTTGAACTGCATTCCCCTGTTTTAGTATAAATTTATTGGAATAATGTCAGCCTACCGTCTATTTGATGGTGCAATTATTCTTAATACTTGCCAACGACCAGTGATATGTTCCAAACGAATTCTGCGCAGACTAACGAATTTATATGCTTTGTTCATTATGATATTCCATGGAAATTAGTCGAAAAATATTGTAACTCCTCTCTGTGACCCAAGTCGGATAAAAATGTGTTTATAGTGACAATTCGCTCAGACTTGTCGAGGAACGCAAAGCAACCAATGCAAGTTCCATTAAACTATAGGGTTTCCTAGCTTTTACAGTTCATTTGAACATGATAAATTATAAACGCCAAAAACATCTATCCCATTGTTTAAATAATTTTAATGTCAGTGATGTACCACCAAAGGCTTTTTTCTCGAGTTAGCTTTCCAAAAACCGATTCACATATTTCTGGAGAAACTTGAACTGTATTTCATAATAAATAAAGTATCAAGCTGCTCTTTGCCTGCAATGAATTTCTTTGAATGTACAACACACCGTTGGAAAAAGTCGCAAAACATATTACGATTACCCTTCGAATGGCAATGACACATTATAAGGACCACCCTAGATAGCCTTGGAGAGTTATGGGGACGATCCCCAGAGAGGCCTCGAAGAGTTATGGGTATCACCACCTGGATAGACCATGAGAGGTTATGAATGCTACCCTTATATAGGCTATGAGGAGTTACGCGTAATACCACTAGGAGGCATTGCACGTAAGCCACGACCGACCTTGTTCAATCAATGTCGCCAATTTGGCTGATTTTTTTTACAGTAGGTAGACCTAACATAGTTAGGAAAAATCCAAAATTTCAGCTCAAATGGATAAGCCAGTCTAGAGATATAGTGGACACAACTATTAGGGAGTAGGTCACTTTTGGTGCATTTTGTAGTGCAATACTTTTCAGTAAATTTTCATTTTCTCAATAACGATAAGAGTTATAACCGTGATTTTTTTACCATACATACTATCGGCGATGGGCTATCTTTTCGTTATAATGAAAGTACCTCATCATTGGATAATTATTGCTTAGCATCATATAACATTTTCAGAAAGTGTGTTTACATATGTATAAGGACTTAGTCACATCAGCGGGGTAGAATAGCTTGAAAATAGTCTCATTTGAAAGAGCACATCAAAATGCATCGAATGACATTTGAAAAAATTTGTGACCTTGAATTTTTCTCTGTAAAGTTTTTTCAACAATATTCCATTATTGGTATCAAAAGGTCTCTATATGGGAAACATCGTTATACTCGATTTTCGTTACTATAAATTCTCTTTCTTGGAAAAGTAATTATATATTCTGATAGCCCATAAAATTCTCTACAACTCTATATATAAACATCTAGAAATATATTTATTCACTAAAAAAATTTCAAGTACACAAAAGCCATCTTCATCGTCCAAATTGCATTTTTTCGTTTTATATTTGTCTTTTTCACAACTATTTCAACTATAGAAATAAGTTTATACAAAGGAAGTTATATATTCTGATAGCGCGTGAAATTCTGCATCTTTTGATCTATTATTCAAAAGGCAAAAAGATATGTACGGGTATTTAGTAAAGACCATAATTGCTGCACTATGTGACAAAACTGTCAAAATTATATTCATATTGAGCAGTTATTATCATATTATCATTATAGTTATTCTTTCAAATATTATATATATAATTATATATTTCGATCACGCGTGAAATTTCTTGTTTTTTTGTACATTAAGACCTTTTGACCTTTTTATCATTTTCTAACGAGAATTTGGAATATTGTCGAAGATATTTGGAAATGCTGTACTTCTGGAAAATTATAAATGTCTCAAAGAAAATATGTAAAAAGCTATGTATTATTTCGATTGTTTAATGCTTCTTCGTATCATAAGTATTTTTTAAAAAGATTTTTGATCAATCTTTTCACTCTCGTATATTAGTGATTGCTATACATATGAAATGAATGATAGATGTCGTATCAGTTGTTGGCTAAAAGTATGATGATAATATATGTAAATGAAGCCTGAATTTATAGTAAGAACTAATGAAGCGTCGGAAAAACTTCATTATGGTGAAAACTACTTATTTTTCTTTTAGTTTTATGAGTTGCCATTAGAGACGGAAGTCGGTTAGTACCGTTATTGGTCACAAGATGATTCAATAATATGTTTTTTTGATGAGTCTTTACAAGATAACGGAAATATACTAATTTGTTTTAGTGCCTGTTGTGGGCAAATCTGAAGATTAGAGTTTTTTAATCAGATTGTCCCGTCTTTGACTTTGTTGTGGACATATCGTTGACTTTATGATCAAATCATCAATGTATCATTAAATCTTTTTTTTAGAAATGTGCTGATTTGTTTGTATTCGGAATTTAATGTCTACGTCTGTGAAAATGACGGTGGAAGGAAATATAAATGAATGTTGTCTGTACGATGAATTTCGTTCTTGTAGCTTATATATTTCAGACAGTACATGAAAAACTTTATTGTTGCCTCAGTCATCTTTGAACTATATATCTTTTAGGATTTGACAATTGGTCTTCTAGTGTCGTTAATTTAAATGATTTAAAAAATAATATAGTTTCATATTTAGTACAAATTGGTGTTATTTCTCGTTTCAATCAAGGGTCTTATGAAATTTCTGAATGTAATTTAATTCTTAATCGTTTACAACGTTATGTTGATATTGAAAAACCTTATCTTAAAATCTGTATGTACTATTGTACTCTTTCGCTTTTGTAGGAAGACATAATCGTATTCGAGCTCATCTATCTTGTTCTCTTCTCCATCAACGATTTTTTAGGTCCTTTACACAGATATACATTTGGCATTGGCTGGAAAGATCAAACTTATTGTCAACACATAGATCACAAAAATTCATCCGACATACCCGGCAAGAAAAGAAAACGAAAACAATATTCAACATCAAATAATCGGGTCGCACCGATTCATTTAGTTCAACATCTTGCACGATTTCCCTATGGTGGTCGTCTTTGTGCATTTCATCTTAAAGAAGTCTATTCGACAATACAATTACGACAATCGACAGCTGATGAATTAAATGCAATATCCGGTGTTCATTCTTATGAAGGTGAAGTCAACAACAATCTTGAATTAAATGATACAAATATATTATTGATGTCTTTGGATCAGAGTCCATTAAAAAGCGAAGCATCAGTTCCACTAGAAGAACAAGCACCTGGTTCTATTCGACGTTTAACTCGTAAGCTTCGTCGAGCGGTTTCTGTTGCAGGTAATCTTTTTTGTTTATAAGGTTTTGTTTTCTTTAAATAAAGCTTCATAATATTTTAGCAGCAAATTTTGCTGAAAGTATTGCACCAGGACAAGGTAAAAAGCTTCTACAGCTGGCACATTTAAATAATCTTGCTGAACGACCATCACTAAATGTTAGCACATCATCCAATACATCAATAGATGAACAATATCTTTCATATTTGATTCAAATGTATCAGGCTTACGAAGAAAAAAATTTACCATTCAATGAACAAGTACGTGTTTTATCACTTATACCAAAATCATGGAAATTAACGAGTAAAATGATTGAAGAAAAATTTAATTGCACAAGTTATGCCGTAAAAACTGCACGACGATTATACAATATGACTGATATTCCGTTACATATTGAAGAAAAAATGTAAGAAATAAAACAAAAATGATTTTTGTCTTTTCTTTTTAACATATGATCCTAATTTTTTAGTCCAAAATCTAGACAACGTCTAGATCCACGTAAAATTGATTATTTCATTAGTTGGATCACTCAATCTGATCTTTTAATATCTATTCCTTGGGGAAATACTAATCTCAAATTGGAAAATGGTGAAAAGATTTCAATTCCTCGACAAATGTTACAAGCACAGAAGAGTCAAGTTATTCATTTGTATAAACAACATTGTAATGAACTAGGTGTTGATTCAATTTCTGATCGAATAATAATACGATCTAATCAGAAGATTTTGAATTAATCTCAATCAGCTATGATTTTTTGAATTGAAATGACTTCTGAGATTGATTAGAATTTGAGAGTTCAAAGGAAAACATTATTAGGTAAAGTTTAATTCAGAGATGTTTAATCGAGTATAAATTATTCAATCTAATCGACTTTTCAAATAGATCTTAACTGGAAAAGTCAACCCTCAAAACCAGAAATGATTAAAACTAAGAAAAATGTGTAAAAATGCGATTTAAGTTTTTAGCGCTATCGATCAAAAATTGGAATGTTTTCGGTACAAAAGATATGTTCTAGCTCAATTTGAGCTTCCCTATCAAATCGTGTGTGATACAGAGTAAGAAGGTAAACACTGTTAAAACTCATGGGGAACATCAAAATTCAATAGAGATTTATATGTAGATATCCAATTTGAATTTTTGGCGAGCTTGGTATAAAATTAACCCTTTGACAGCCGACATAAGATAAGGCAGAAACAATTTTGCAGAAAGTTTAGTCGTTTTTTATGGACCAATCCTATACCGTGCCTTAATAAAATGGTGCTTTGAGAAGCGCATGGTGGCTAACGTCTGTGTTTACGCTAATGCGTCTAAAAAACATACGTTACAAATGATTATTTTAGTTTACGCCAAGATGAGGTTCCTGACGCATATATGCGTCGGCGGCTGCCAAAGGGTTAGATCGTTTTTGACAGAAGACATATATTCTAACTGAGCTTGAACTGCTCTATCAAATACTGCAAAATATTATACGAAATAGAACAAATTGTGATCCCTACTTTTTCACTAATATATGGACAAAAATTGATTCCAATTAAGTATTCTTGTTCTCCATGATCTAGCGTATCCGCTCATATATCGCTTGTTACTTTTCAATGATCTAACAGAAATTCCCTCCGAACTATACTGGTATTCGATGACAAAACGATAGTGCTCTAACTCAGTCCGTACGAAGTCTCTTAACCCTTTCGAGTCGATTCGATTATCCTAAGAAATAGCTTTAACAGATTCATTATTATACGCATTTATCTTTCGATAAATGCACTCGTTGGTTTTTCCAGTGTGGGCAACCAGTCTTTTTTCCTTTTCTTATTTGTATCGTTATATAGACAGTCATCTTTCACTGAATGGTTATTCACGTTTGGTTTTCTCTTTCTTATATGTATAACGCAGCAGGAACGAGATAATGAAACGAAATTTTGATTTTTTTTCTCTTTTGTATTCTTTTCGAACCATTACCTTTGGTTCTTTCCTCTCATTCATATCAAAAGAACTTCTAACTTCTGTCTTCTAAAGAAGACAGGCCGTCTGAGGAAACCGGTACAGAAGACAGCAGGAACTCACTGAGTGATGTCAGTTCTTTGGATGATGATTTTGCTAGAATGTAGATTGACTCATCAAGCTCCGAGGAAGAAGTTACTGATGATAATCGCGGTTCACAATTTTGGACTGAAGTAGAATCAGAATCGGATAATGAAGTCCAAGAAGATCTCCGAATCATCGAAGAAGTAACATTCTCACCCTGAAAGTCTTGTGCAATCGCTATTCCTTAGTGCGCCATTCGAGAATATGAAACCTGGTCTGAGACAACAGTCAACAAGCCAAACGAAGCGCAAACTCACTGAGCATAAGCTCAAAGAAACGGAAAAATCTAACTGTGATGTCCGAAGACGCTGCGCTGGCTGCTACTAGTAAATCAGACAACAACAATCAAGAGAAACAACTAATACAACAGCAAAGAAAATAAAAACATTCTGTCCTAATTATGACAAATTTTATTGTCTTGCTTGTTTTAATGAGAAACTTCACGCTATGCAATAAATATTTCAAACTGTAGCGAGGCAGAGCAGATGATACATTGCGTGTAACCTTCTGTCCGAAAAAAATGAAAGAAAGTGTTTTTCTATTCAGTTTCTTATTAAAATATAGTGGGTCCCACCGGTGGGACCCATCGACTCAAAAGGGTTAAGGTATTTTAACACGTCAAGATTTTGATTTATATTATCATGGTGAACGATGTACCTCTGATCAACCTCAATCATTGACTTGTCCATTTTGTGGTGAGATGGGTTTCGGGTTTCCTTATCTTGATGAATTATCTTCATCGAATAACAGTACGCAAAATGTTGATTTATTTCAACATCTTCAAACAAAACATGCTGATGATCAACAATCACAAGAAGTTATTTGTCCAATTTGTGCTGCTATGATTAATGGTGAACCAAATTTAGTCACTGCAGATCTTATTTCACATATAGCTAATGATCATCAATATTCACCAGTAGATACGCCATCATCAGCTGGTGATGGAACAAATCCTTATTCAAGACAATCATCATCGGCTACAGATTATGATTTTGGTATTGGTGCTGGCATTCGTGGTGGTTTTCGACGTGGATCATTAAGAACACCTGGTCGACGAGGTGGATTAGGAAGAGAAAGTGGACATTCGTGAGCAAACATATTCACAGTTATCTCTTCTCTTACTAGAAGTATATAATCAAATATTGTTGATTATATTTTCTTCCACGTTATAATTTGAATGTTGCTCTCAAAACGTGTTGCAAAACCCATTCGAAAAACTTGGAAAAATGTAAGTTTAAATCTTTTTCCATATCTCCAATTAGAATTTTATCTTTTCTCAGCAACCTGCTTCATCACTTGGTAAAGCCGTACTTAAAGATTGATCAAATACTTGTTCTTTAAAACTTCTATTCGATTTGCTTTTTTCAATTGAATATTCTTCCGCAATCATGTCTGAAAACGCTTCTACATTTAAGTAAGATCGTCCTTTTTGTATATAAATATACTTATTTCTTTATTCAATAGACCTATCAATTCAAATAATAATTCTGATTCATCTTCATTACCATTAATATCATTTCGTTTATCACCTTCATTTCCTAATTGGAGAATTAATTATAAACCAATGCCTCAAAAATTTCAGTCAAAAGGTATTTGGGCTGGACATCAAACTCAAGATGAATTTATGACAATGCATCTTCGATAAACAATTCTTCTATGTACATTAATAAAATAAACTACATTTGTTTTTTTTTCTTCGTTCGTTTGATTTATTCATTTCATTTGAAAATAAAGTTAAAAAATAGAATCAAAAAATGAGTGATCATATTCATTCATTCAACCGATCACTGTTCGTTTCATACTAACGTTTATTCATTATTTGTTATTTCTACTACTTCAAATAAGTCAACCATATATTCATTCGTTCGTTCTCTTTTATTTTTTCTATCACATTGCATAAAATTATCATTTCTATCTTTAAAAAGTTTCTGTCTGCAATTGAATCAGCTTTTTCTCAAATTAAGCATTTCTTTCTTGTTCAAACGTCATATCTTCGTATATTAATTTATAAACGAACACTGTGGACAGACGAAAATGACATTGCAATATGCTAAAAAACAGAATAAGAGGTCAAACAGACTGAAAAAACTAAAGCTGAATTAAGAAATGTGATTGGTGTTGTCACTTGGAAACACCAATCACATTTCTTAATTCAGCTTTAATTTTTTTCACTTTGTTTGACCCCTAAGCATGTGTCGTCTATGATGAAATTGGACGGAACATCGACGTTACCTTTTTTTTAGGCAGGTTATGTATTTCATTCATTGCCGATCGCAATATATAAGCAAAGAACGAACATATATATATCTTGAAAAGTGTCACGGGTCAGAATCAAACATGAATCGTACAAGCACTAGTTTGCTTGATCTACCCAATGAGATATTACTTATTATTCTGAATAATTTGAACAATATGGATGTTCTCTATTCACTAATAGGTATTGGTATTGAACGAGTTGACCTTCTAGCACAAGATAAAATTTTCACTAACACTCTCAATTTTGTATCAACTGATACTGATGGTATCTGTTCAATTAATGATTCAATACTTGATCGATTTTATATCCATATATTACCAAAAATTCATTACAATGTTAAATGTCTTGTTGAATCAATGACCATGGAACGTATTCTACTTTCTGGTGATTATCCAAATCTTAATCATCTCAAAATCTTCAAATTCAATCAAGATATTGTTTCACATTATTTTACAGGTAATTAACTTATATATTAATCTATCCAACAATTAAGATGTGAAAGCATTGAAAATAGAAGATTACAATATCTGTTTGTTTAGATGAATCACGGTTTCGACGTATTTTCAAACAGATTACAGATCTTATTCTTATAAATAATGAAAAATATCTCGAAGTACAACCGAATTACACAACAAATGTATACGTACGAATCTTCAATTTCTTCGAAAATTTGAACCACTTGAGTGTTGTTTCATCAGGCATTGAATATGAAGAATGTCGACCGTTATCACTTCGTGATCTATCATCGACTCCTTTTTTCTCTTCAACTCTAACCAAATTATGCATCAGTTTGTATAATTTTGAGGATTGTCTTTCTTTACTTGATGGTCGTCTCAAACAATTGTCTACATTCATTGTTATTATTCATGTGGTGGAGGATCACTCCTCGACAGTACATAATTCGGTGAGTTTATATCGTATTTCATCAAATTTTCGAAATAAAAATATCTTTCACGAAGAATGAACGTTTTTTATTTTAAGATTCATTGACTTATATGATGAAGGATAAATTATTTGATGTAGAATAGTTTCTTATTTTAATTATGTGTCATGATGAGCTTTGTTCAAGCTTTTGATGCATATCGATAGAACTTTTGATTGATATCTCAATATTCGCTATATTCTAATGTGTTCAAACTTTACATATCTGTTTCACTTATTTTTACCAGAAAATTTCTATTTCAGAGAGTAAAGAAAAATCTAAATGAGGAAATAAAAAAAACTAATGCTTATTTTTCGATGATATGAATTGTTTTTTCACTCAACTAATAAATATCTATTGTTTTGTATTTTATAGAATTCACTACCTAATTTGAAATGTTTCTCATTGACAATTGGTGTTTTAACTTATGAATATGACACTCAAGTTATACCTCTTCTTCGTCGCATGTGTAATATCGAAGAATTAACCTTGTATCTTTGTATTGAGGGTCGAGCTAGATTTGTCGATGGTACTCAACTTCATAATGAAATTCTTATTTATATGGCACGACTTCATACATTCAACTTTTATATCAGAACCACTGCTCAAATCGATCATTCTGTTCCTTATTTATCAAATGAAGATATTCAAAAAACGTTTACTAACGTAGGATATGAACAAGCGGATTGCATTCTACGCTATTCCAACACTGCCCCCCTCACTGTGTGTCATATATTCTCACTTCCATTCGCATTCGATCGTCTCGAAATGGTTAGCAATAAATTTCCCAATGTTATATTCAATAATGTTACTTTCTTATGGGTACAAGACTCAGTTCCATTCAACCACGAATTTTTCGTTCGGATTGCTCAATCTTTTCCATTGTTGAAATCTTTACGTATTGTGAATTTTGAACCACAGACATCCAAATCTGCTCAATTGAAATCTGAAAATAATCAATCATATTCGGTCGTGGAATATCCTTATATTACAACACTTGAGATTATGTATGTTCACACTGATTATATTGAGCAGCTTTTGGATGCATCAAAGACACGTTTACCTCGTTTGACCGTATTAAAAATCAAATATTATAAATTGAAAACTGCGACAGAAAACTTTACAAGAGATGCAATGCGACTCAATTGCATGAATGTGCAAAAGCTATCTATTAAAGAAGAAGAAGAAGAGGAAGAAGAAGAAGGGTCAATAATATATCCAAAAGATTTTTACGTTTATTTTCCTCTGTTGTAACATCAATTTATTCTAGTTGTTTGAATAAAACAAAGTAGAGAAAGCTTCTAGTATTGCTTGATAATGAAATAATCATGGAAATATTTGAAAGAATATTTAGTGACATGTCTAATAAAAGGTTGGTATCAGACAGAATAACAGTGAAAATGATGTCCAAAGCGTGTTGAAGAATATATGTATCCAGTTGAATAAAATTGCAAATAGAATTTCGAAGTATATCGAAAATTTCGAACATATCGGATTGACAAATATTTCAAAAAGATCTTAGATATGCGTCGAAGATCCTTTTGAAACGTATCGAGTATGATTTTGAGGACATGGTAAATATCATCTTGATAATTACTACTCAGTATATAGGAAACAATTGGATAGCTTATTCATTAACATCTTAATTCGATGTTTGAAGTACGTTCAGAATTAAGTTCATCAATGAATCGTGGAGATTCTACCACTTTCCTAGAAATTTTTTTTTCGATTTCATGTTTCAGGTAGACATAACGCCGTTGAAAAGGGTTTAGTGGAAAACGTCGAAAAGGAAAATACCGAAAAGGAAAATGTCAAAAGAGAAAATAGGAAACTGCTGAAAAGGAAAATGTAGAAGAATAAAATAGTGAAAGGGAGAACATCGAACAGGGAAAACAGGAGACAGGAAAATATCGAAAACGAAATTTTTCTGATTCTGAAATAACATGGCGACATTTTATTTAAATATGTAGCAAAAAAAGAGTCCTATTAAAATTACAAACATATGCTCATCTTATTTTTTTCTCTTTGGATCAATCAAGATAATCCAGTCAGCAACTGTTTCCAAGTTATTTCATCGTCACCCTCACCTCAAATGTATGTATACTGCAGATACCTATTTATTCTATCACATTTCTTCGATATATTTCTTTCGATGTTTTATTTTTTTTCCATTTTTTTTCGATGTTCTCTCTTTCGTTATTTTAATCTTCTACATCTTCTTTGCGACGTTTAGCTACTTTTTTTTCGACATTTTGCCAATTCGACATTTTCCTTTTCGACGTTTTCCATCAATCCCGCTCAAAATCTAATTTGGATCAGATTTAAAGAAGTTAGTGCATTGCGGTGACGATGATTTTATTTATATGATTGATTGCTTCGTAAGCTTTTTTTCAATAAGCCACAACAAATAATACATACAGGATATAGTACATTACAACAAACCTGTCAGAATGACTCCAAAAAGGTTTCTATAAACAAACATGTTCGATAGGTTTTTTCACGTTCAGAGAATTATTTACAAAGAAAGCGAAACTGTAATCCATTACTTCAGAATCTTGGTTAGTACAATCTAATCTTAATCAAATGTTATAGCGACACCAATATGTTTCGGTATCACAGTCATTTTTTGAATATATCCACCCGCATTAACTTGATCACCACCATCACCAAAAGTAACATGTTGCATTAATTTCACTATAATTGCTTTCAATTCAAAACGAGCTAAATCTTGACCAATACATCGTCGATGACCACCAAAAGGAATTGATGCATATGGATGATGATCTTTATCTTCACCTTGAAAACGTTCGGGATAGAATAAATCAGGATCAATTTTCCAACATCGTTTGTCTCGAGCTAAATTGTAGAATGAAATGAATGTTTCATCGCCCTTATGCAATTGAATACCACTTCCTGGTAATTGATCATCTATAGTTAATGTACGAGTTGTACCGACAACAGGTGGAAGAAAACGGAAAAGTTCTTGTATAACACAATCCAAATAAGTCAAAGATTCAATTTGTTCGACAGATACTCGATTTTGCTTATTATCACCAAGTTCTGCTTTAATTTTAGCTTGTACACGAGGATTTTTACTCATAAAATATATAAACCAAGCAAGTGCAGTTCCTGTTGTTTCACAACCCGCTACAATAAAAAGAAGCAATTCATCGATTACTTCGACACGAGATAGACCTTAATAAAAAAAATAGTAAAGAAAAAAGTTTGTTTTGTAAGAAACATTTTCCCTTTTTTTCCTTGTTCAGATTTGACTGCTTCAACTTTCTCATCTTGCTGTAATGAGCCGACGAGAGATGCAATTAGACTTGTTCTCTTTCGTTCACTGATTTCTTCTAGTGTTTTTCTTTGTTCTTCTTCCATGATTTTGTTCAAATATTCTTCAATAATCTGTCTCGCACGTCGATATTGAGGATTGAGTTTCAAATAGAATTTAGCTAGAAAATTCGGTACGCGAGTTGTTTGTACAAATGTTACTAAAAATTCATTTAAAGCTTGTGTAAGCTTGTTTTTCTGTTGATATTCGATTCTTCCAATGTTTGTAAATCATAATTGAAAGCAAGAAAGCCAAAGATTGCTGATGATAAATTTTGATATTGATCAACAATATTAAGATGAATATGTTTGGGATCATTATCAATTGTTGATCGCCATTGATCAAGCTATTTATCAGTACAATCAATAATTAAATCATAATTATTTATGATTTTCCCACGACGAATAGAGGAAGAATTATACTCGCATGACGTTTAAATTTGGGTTCTAAGATGAAAATTAAATTAGAAAAACGAAAAAATCTCCATAAATTTCCAATTAGAAATTTTGATTTGTATCCATTCGAAAATAGAGTTTACGAATAATCTTACCTGGTATTGGACCATATAATGTAAAATATTTCAGTTTAGTATATACGAATAATATCATGATAAAAATTAAAACGAGGCGGAAAAACATGTCTATGTGATGCACAACTATAGAGTAAGTGTAATGGAGAAGTCCATGACATATTTCAGTGATACTATCACTGGTATTTATACATACATATATAAATACATAGATAGTCAGATAGATAGGTGGGTGAGTTGACAGCTGGGTAGTTCGGTAAAGGGTAGATAAAAAACTAAATAATTATTTATCTATCTATCGTATGTTTCCACCCTCATCCTGCCGTAGGTGTTGTATATGTGTGTTTCGCGTGTGTCTCTGTTTTCCTACTTACCCTCACGCATGTACTGTGTTTGGGTATTTCGTGTGTGTTTGTGTTTGTGCCCACATCTGCACGTAGGTACTGTGTGTGTTTCGTTTATGATTGTGTTTCCGCCCACATCTTCACAAAGGTGCTGTGCGTGTATTTCTCTTTCACACGTGTTGTATTTTCGCCCTCTCTAACAGGCAAGGGATGTTTACACGTATCTCTGGATCTTTCCTGCCGTGTTTTTCTCTGCATAAAGCAAAAACAAATCGAAAAACTGTCATCAAAATTGGATTCATTATCGAGAAAAATCTTTCGATTTCTGCATATTCATGTGCTGTTGTAACGCGCAATATACACCAGTTTATATCACATACCTACTTGGTTTTCTATCGACCTATTGATCGAGATAGATAGGTAGGTAACTATCTATTTCTCTACGTATCCAGATACATAGATAGATAAATAAATATTTACCTATCTAGATGGATAAATAATTATTTATTTATTTCCCTCACTACCTACCTATCCACTAACTTACCTATCTACGTATCTATCTATTTATCTATCTATATTGATACAAGTTTGTCGAGATTTCAGTGATATGTTGCTGAAAACCGTCATCTATTGATTATGTGATACATCGCAGCACATGACGAAAGAGTGAAATGCTCGCATTGATTTAGCAAAAACATCGATTTTCCAGATGGCTGTTCGAAAGATCAAAAATAATTTTTCTTGGATAATGTATTACTGTAAGCGGATCTCAGATAAATTAACTTTCAACTTGATTAAATACATTCAGAAAGTTTACATAAAAATATATTTATAAATTTTATTTTCTGTATTATATTTAAAACTTTCTATTCGCATCTTAATCAGATATGATGGTAACACCAACATTTTTAGGTATAGTAGCGAGTCTTTGAATATATCCACCCGCATTAACTTTATCACCACCATCACCAAAAGTGACATATTGCATCAATCTTACAACGATTGTTTTCAACTCAAAACAAGATAAATCTTGACCAACACATTGTTGATGACCACCATCAAAAAGAATCGATGCATATGGATGGTGATCTTTATCTTCACCTTGGAAACGTTCAGGATCGATTTTCCAACATTGTTTATCACGAGACAAATTGTAAAATGAAATTCATATTTCATCATCTTTATGCAATTGAACACCACTCCCTGGTAATTGATCATCTACAGTTAATGTACGAGTTGTACTGATAACAGGTCGAAGAAAACGTAAAATTTCTTGTATAATACGATCCAAATAAGTCAATGATTCAATTTGTTCCACACCCATAGCATGATATTTATTACTACGAAGTTCTGCTGTAATTAAAGCTTGTACACGACGATATTTACTCATAAAATAAATGAACCAACTGGCTGTAGCTCCTGTTGTTTCCGAACGAGCCACAATAAAGAGAAGCAACTCATTAATTACCTCTTCATGATATAATCCTGAACAAAAAAAGTAATAAATAAGAGATTGTCATGAAGTAGTGAAAAACTTTCACCTTTTTTTTCTTGTTCAGGTTTTGCGACTTCAGTTTTCTGAACTTGCTATAATGAAATAACGAATGCTGCAATTAAACTACTTCTTTTTTGATCAGTAATTCCTTCTGGTGTTTTTCTTTGTTCTTCGTGATTTGATTCAAATATTTTTCAATAAGTAGTCTCGCACGTCGATATCGAGAATTGAGTTTCAAATAGATTTGACTTATAGAATTTAGTAGACGAGTTGTTTGTGTAAATATTTCTAAAAAACATTTAAAGCTTGTGTAAGGTTGTTTGTTTTATTAATATTGGATTCTTTTAATGTTTGAAAGTCATAATCAAAACCAATAAAACCAAAGATTGCTAATGATAAATTTTGACATTGATCAACAATGTTAAGATGAAAGTGTTTGGGATCATTATCAGTTGTTGATCGCCATTGATCAAGCAATTTATCAGTACAATCAATAATTAAATCATAATTATTTAAGATTTTCCCACGACGAAATAGAGGAAGAATTATACTCGCATGACGTTTATATTTGGGTCCTAAGATGAAAATTAAATTAGAAAAACGAAAAAATCTCCATAAATTTCATGTCAGAAATTTTGGTTTTGTATTCCCTTCGAAAAGAGGCTTTATGAATAATCTTACCTATGTTGCATATGAGTGCATCATTAAAAACAACCCGATGTTGATTTATATGTAAATCACCTTGTTCATAAATATGTCGATGGGTGAATACATGTTGGACATCTTCAGGATTACATACACAAATTAGATGCAATAGTCCCAAATAAATTTGAAAAGTGTCTCCATATTCAGCTTGAAACTGTTTCAAAGCATCTCCGATATATCTACCACGAACTTGATCCATATGAAGAAGATTGTCGAAAAGGAAATGTGGTGATTTGCCTGGTATTGGATCATATAATGTAAAATATTTTAGTTTGATATATACAAATAATATTATGATCAGAATCACCACGAGGAGGAAAAACTTGTTTATGTGGTGCACAAGGATAGTGCAAAAGATATGAGGTGTAAGGTTTATTTATAGGTATAAAAGAAAACAAACGGAAAGAAAAAAATAAAATAATATGATATGACCCTCGCAGTAGATGAAGAGACTAGGGGAAACAGCGTACTTTGTACTTAAAGTTAATTTGAGTATTTAAAAGTACTTCGAGCTACTTTAAAGTACTTCGATATACTTGAAGTGCGCTGTTTCTCCCTATCGAAAAGACAAGGAGCACACTTGCATGAGACAAAATAATCAAACACGAATGTACTAGACTAAAAGATTGAGAATAATCTTGTTTAGTTATATATTATTCGAGACTGCTCACACGAAAAATTAATTTGAACCTGCTTTAAATATTTCTGAAAAATGTAGAATACTTTTGTTCCTTTCTAAAAACCCTTATAGCCGTTGCCATCCTGTTGTCTCTTAAATATTAAAATCGTCTCCATCAGTGTTTCACATTTCTACATATCCCAATTTATATTTATTAAATATTTAGATTCAATTATAAGTGCACAGGTTCGTGTTGGTGAAAAAATCTACCTTAATCTTTTCTATCTTTCAATTTTTTCATTGCGTCTTTATGAAGATAACTGATGTAAAAGAAATGAGCAAAGAGAAAAAGATATGAAGCATACAATAATAATGACACTACAATATTCATATATGAAGTCGCGCACGAATATCCTTGTTGTTTATAATTAAATGCTGCAATATTAATTATGCAACCAACAATCATTTGAATTAATTGCAAAATTGTAATAAATTATTGAAGAAATCGAGAAAGACAAATACGAGCTGTTCGTAATGCAAAATAACCATACATAATTGTATGAACACAATAATTCATTGATAGAAACCAACGATCAGTTGAGACAAATAATGCATAACTTAAACAATCTGCTTGGTTTTTTGTTGTATCAGAAAATTTTAATTTAAATCAGAGATATTCATTGGACTACCATGGGCTGATACCCCAAGTGGGGAGGGAGCGACATGTCACTCATCACCTTCCTCTATAGGGCAACTTCTGCTCCTTTATTTCCCAGCCATGGTCTGGACTATGGGATGATAATTTTTCTCACATTTTCTCCTTTTTTGATCGTGTAATCGTCATGGAAAATACTCGAATTGGCTGCTAACTTTCCTTACATATTATTTGTTTCGTTGTGTGCTGATATTTTTTTGAAAAATGAATTATCTTTTCTTGTTTACCCCATGAATAGAGCCAATGGAGCCCATGGTCGGGGTAAACTGAATTGCGTAAACCCTGTCTCTCCATCGGTAGGAAAAATTGTTTTATAAAAATTGACTTGTGAGGCATCCTCCCCATGGGCGACGAAAAATATCTCGTGAACATCTCTGATTTCAATATATATTTTATCTTATAAGAGAAAATATCTACTGAACAAACATTTATTGATCATTTACCTCTGATAAAGGGTGATCCATAAGTCTTGGGCCCTCTTAGGAAAATTGCTCTCTCTCCGTTATAACAAATCCAAAAAAGCTCAAACTTTGGTATATAATCCCTTGTAACATGGCGAATATTATCTTAAATTTTCATCTCTCTATCCCTACAAATAAGGGAAATATATAGGTTAACATTTCAGAAATTTTTTTTCCGATGTTCTAAAAACCAACAATCATCAAGGATTTGCATGGAAACATTAAAAAAATGCACAAATAATTCTACTATAATAAATATATACTAGAAGAATTATGTGGGATAGAATTACGTCAGAATATTTAATTAGATGTCTATAGTCTATTTATATAATTTCCTTCAATACTGATTGGTTCTAATTAGACTTATGAACATCGTTTTATGTAAATCATGTAATGTTAACATTTGTTCTATCAGCTTTTTATATTTTCGGGACATAAATGTTTGTTGAAAACAGTAGAATTGAAGCAAAATATCGAAAGATAAAATACCGAAATGTAAAATAACGAAAAAAAATCGAACAAAATGGGAAATGTTAATGAAAATTTCTCAAAACGAATAACGA